GAAGGGGATTCATTCTGTGCAGGTCTTGGGAACTTTACAGGCACCGTGCCATAGCAGTATCTCCATGGCGGTCTTGTGAGTTCATGCCATCGTTATCTGCCTGTGATCAATGAGAGAATGGTCGTCTCTGGTTAAGGGGTCATCTAAGAGGTTAAGCCACAGACCTAAAATTCACAACTAGCAATGACAGAGTTGAGACTTCACACCCAGATCTTTCCTTTCTCCAAAGCTTGGTGTGTAACTGGTATGCTGACACAAACCCAGCAAATTGAGGGAGACAGTGAATAGAATGTCTTTAGCACATTGTGGGACACTTAATAAGCGCAATTTCGGTCTGGTGCCTAGGTCTGTGCAGCCAGGCTGGCCCTCCATGAGGACAAGCATCTGCTTCACCCCTCCCTCCCTAGGCTTCCCTGGTGAGCAAGGGGCCACCACATGCTGAAATGCAGGATGGGCAGGAGGGATGGGAGAGTCATTGAATTATTCATGTCTAATTCCACTTGTCTAATGGACTTGTTAAAAGCACCCTGGGTGGAAAGTGTGAGTCTTAATGGCATTTTATAAAAGTTGCTGTGATGAATTAGCACATAAAGCAAATTAAAAGCAGCTTATCGCTTTTTAAAATAGGTGACGGGGCACTGTAGCCTCTTCCCCAGATGTGATGATCCATTAATATCCAAAGGAGCCAGGAGCTGCTGAAATGTGTCAGCTGCTTGTTTTTAGGGACCTGGCGAGTCTAAATCAGTGTGATCCTAGAGAGGCAGTTTGTCCAAGATAATAGAACTCATGGAGAGAGCGTGTTGCTGATCCCAAGGGTGGGAAATCTCCCCTCAGGAATACTTGGGGGAACTTCCCTGGTGGTCCAGTGGCTAAGATTCCATGCTCCCAATGCAGGCCCAAGTTCAATCCCTGTTCAGGGAACTAGATCCCACATGCCGCAACTAAGAGTTCCCGTGCCGCAACCAAAGATCCCGCATGTTGCAACTAAGACCCAGCACAGCCAAGTAAATAAATGTTTTCTTGAAAAGATGACTTGAGACTGGAATGGAGCTCAGTAGAATGAATGGGTCACCTGCTGAGGACCTTTGGGATTGGTTTCTGCTGCCCTCCCCTTACAGACCGGGACCCTGAGACTTAAAAGAAGTGGAGCTTTCAAAGTGAAAGTGTTAGTCGTTCAGTTGTGTTCGACTCTGCGATCTCATGGACTATAGCCCATCAGGCTCCTCTGTCCATGGGATTCTTCAGGCAAGAATACTGGAGTGGGTTGCCATTCCCTTCTCCAGGGGATCTTCCCAACCTGGGGCTCGAACTCAGGTCTCCTGCTTTGCAGGCCAGGCTCTTTACCAGTCTGAGTCACCAGGGGCTTTCAAAGATCATCCTAAATATTTCCACAGACCTTTCTGAAGGTCTGCCTTATACCCAGCACTAAACTGGGTCTTGAGGACACAGAGGAGTTTTAGATATCTTTGTACACAGTCCATATGACTGCTTCTAAGTGGCGCAGTTGGGACCCAGAAACTGGAATTCAAATCCCAGTGCATTTTTCAGAATAACTATCCTAGTAGTATTAGGTAACATTTATTGAGCACTCGCTACTGCCAGGCTGTGTTACAATACTTCACATGTATTATTTCATTAAATCCTCACCACAACTCTTCAAGGTGGCTGGTGTTATTACTATGCTATTTTATAATTAAGAAAGCTTGAAACCCAGAGACATTAAGTACCTTGTTCAAGATCACAGTTAAAAAGTTGCAAACCCAAATAGTCTGACCCTAGAGCCTGCCTTCTTGGCCACCACCTGCCAGTTTTCCTGATGTCTTTTTACCTCCAGTCTCCACACTTTACATCCAGAAGAACCTGAAGCTGAACTAGAGGTTTGGAGACCTTTAAATAAGGAATACTGGGGACAGGAGCTGAGCAGTAAGGGAACTTCAGGGATCTGGGGGAGAAGAGGTGGTCAGCTCTGAAGGGAAGAATAGAATTTCCTGGTACGGCCGAGTCGTGGGCACTGTAATGAAATAACTAGGGATGTGCATTTTGGAGTCAGGCCTTATTCTGGGTTCAGTTTCTACCACGTGTTTACTTGTAACCTGGGGCAGATTTCTGAACTTCCTGAACCTCCTCTCCTATCTATTAAACAGAGATACTAATAGTTACCTTTCAGGTTGTTATGATGTCAAATGTAGGACAATGAACACAAAGGGCCAGGCCCCCTAACGTGGGCATGAATAGTGCTTGTCATCATGATTCTCATCCTTGCCCCCTTGTCACCACCTTCACCCCCTCCCATACTGACGTGGGGTCAGGGGGCAAGGTGGAGACCACTGAACTAGGACTTAGGACCGAGAGCTCAACACTCCAGCCCCAGGTTGCTGCCTCTAAGCCACATATCCTGCATTAGTTGGTGGGGGCCTCACTTGGTGTGCCCCTCACCTGTAAAAAGGGGGATACTAAGTACTGTATCTGTTGTACTTTCTTTCTAGGAATGGATCGAGGCACAAATGAGAAAGTATGTAAATATGGTTTCCAATCTATGAAGTGAGTGTTGGGGATCCTGAGGACATCTCCCAAGTAGGAGGGCTTGTCGGACTCTCATCTTCATGGCTATGATTATTGCAGAAAGTGGATACAAAGCCAGCTCAGCAAGAGGAAAAGAGCCTGAGACAAAGGCCAGAGGAGATGAGGTGCCAGCTTGCAGGAGTCCTCTCCCAGTGACATCAGGAAGGACATGCTTAAGTCCTCCAGCGATGGATTGTGGCAACAGGTGTAGAGTGTTGTCTACCAGGGAAGCTCCTGAGACTCAGTGTCCGGGGATTGTATTTGGGGCTGCTCACATAGGCGCCCTCTCTGCCTGGCACTTACCACAATTCCAGACTCCCAGGGGAAAAGCAAGCATTCGGCTTAAATGATACTGTTTATGTAGATAGTTTAGGCACAGTAAGCCATTCTTAACAGGAAATGGAAAGAAGCCTCCCAAAAGCTGAGTTCCCAAATGTCAGCCAAGGGCTGTCCTTATATGCAGGCCTTTTTAAGGGATGCAGCCTCGGGTCGTTATGTCAGTCTGTTTTTGCAGAGTAGAATCCTTAGAAAGGATGTTTATAAGTATACACTCAGAAGGGGAAAAGGAGGTGTTTAACAGCAGCAACAACGGTTCATACTTAACGACTGTCACTGTGTGTAGGCACCTGTGTGTACGCTTTACATGCATTACCTTAGGCAGCATTTCATCCATAGCACAATCCCATGATAGAGGCGCAGTTATCATCTCCGTTGTTGAAATCACTGTGTCCTATATGGGGGAACTGGGTCCTCAGAGGGGCTCAGGAGGGTGCCTGGGTTACCAGCTGTGTGACTGGTAAGAGAGAAGTGCCAGGGCCAGAACACAGCCCTAACAGTGTGGCCCCTGAGTCTGCTTTCTTAGCCACTGTTAGACTACATTCTGCCCGATGCATCCAATATGTTGTTTCATTAAAGCTCACAGCAGCTCCAAGTGAATACAGTTATTGGACTAATTTTGCATTTAAAAAACTGTGGTTCTGCAATGTTAACTTGTGTCTCATCCGCCAGCCAGAGGAGTGACAGAGTCAGGAGTGGGTCTCTGCCTCCTCTCAGCCCCCTTTTCCTGGCGAGGGTTTTGTGAAGTCTTTGGTAAGGAAGATGCAGATGGTTAAGGTGGAAATGAGTCATTCTGGGAGCTGAGACACCCCCCTCACCGTATTCCACCACTTGGGGACAGAGTTAATGGAAGAAGGGCTGTGTTGCAAGTAGTTCAGCTTTTCCTGCAGTATTTGAGGGCTGATGCCTTCAACTCATTTGGGTTGCCATCACAGCAGATGTGACATTTCTTTCATGAGAGGGGGGAAAAGAAAGCAAAAGAATCACACTCAGTCCTCGGTGATTTTAGACAAATCTGTCCACCAGATCTAGCTAGTTTTGCTTGCATAGTGACTACACTCTAAGGAAATTGTTAGAATAGAATCAAAGTGGAAATAAACAGGGACACGGCAAAGTCTGCCTCTCCAGGGAAATCACAGGTAGTGTGTGTGTGGTGATGGTTTGTGGGAGACACAGAAAGAGGTGGACAGATTGTCAGCTGCTCGGGGGCAAGAGCTAAGGTCTTGGTCATCATTTAATTCTGCTTCCAACTCCTTTACCCCACCAGTCATGCCTATTACAGTGTTAGGCTTAGCGAAGGCTCAGTAAAGGCTTTTTAGTGGGGAAAACATGATACATACGGCAAGAATTACAATTCAGAGTGATAAATGCAATGACAAGGTAGGCTTGGTATTCTGTGGAAGCAGTTTGATCCATCTGAGAAGATTTTTTCATCACACAAAATGCTGCACTCAGAAAGATGCCCACCATTCTCTTCATTATTTACTTCTTTATAGTGATTTAAAAAATTTGATTGTAGTGAGAAAGAAAAAAAATCTCGATAAGGTACTAACCTACCTCTATCATCTTCCATTATTACCTTGTTGCATGCGATGATCTCCACAAAGCAGTATCCCAGGTTTTTTTCAATATTTTTCTTATTGTGGCAAAGTCACATAATATAAAACATACTATTTTGGCCATATTTACCTGTACAGTTCAGGGGCCCTAAGTGCATTCAGACTGTTATGCAGTTCTTACCACCATCCATCTCCTGAATTTTTCACCTTTCTAAAACGAAAACTCTGTTCCCATTAGACACTAACTCCCCATTCCCCCTCCTTACTCTCCACTCCCTGGAGTCTGGCATCTACCAGAGAGCAGAACCCCAGGTTAAGGGCCCCTAATAGGCTGCCCTTGCAACCTCCAGGAGAAGTAAGAAGTAACCTTGATTTGTGACCAAAGCAGTGGGAACATTGACTGGGATTCCAGGGGTTAGTCCTGGGAGTGTGTACCCAGCGGACAGGGGGTTCTCAGGGCAAGAGTGAATAATCGAAATGATGAATCCTAGATCTGAGCTGCCAGAGATTCCTAACATTGTTCTCTTATGTCCTTTCTTCCAGAGCCATGTTTGACTATGACAAAAGCAAGGACAGTGGACTGCCAAGTCAAGGACTTAGTTTTAAATACGGAGATATTCTCCACGTTATCAACGCCTCTGATGACGAGTGGTGGCAAGCCAGGAGGGTCACGCTGGAGGGCGACAGTGAGGAGATGGGGGTCATCCCCAGCAAGCGGAGGTAAGGAGGCCTTTCCCATCCTGAGGATTTGCTGCTCACCTCCCCGGGGTGTGGAGGGGAGGGGAGATGAAGATGTGGCAGATCGTTCCCAGGATGTGTTTGAGTGGGTTAGTCAGTCTGCGCAGAAATTGTCAGTGGGGACAGGGGACACAGATTAAATATTCTCCCTCTTCTCATGTTAGGTTTTTACCCAAACTGGTAACTGTGATACAGCATAAAGCAAGAAAGAGGATCTGCTTATCCTGCCTCCCTAACACTTGCCGGCTTTCATATGTTCAGGGGTATGCTTATCAGCTTGTATGCTGACTTACAGACTCAGAGGGGTTACTTTAGAGGTTCATCATTTGCTGGGTTACTTATAGGAAATCCAGGTGAAAGCCAAGTAAAATAGAACATTTTCAAAGCTGAGGTCCTGGCTTTGTATTCTGTCCAAACATTGATGGATAAAGACTAACAAACTCCAATCCAGAATCAGATACTTGGGTATAAACAACATGGTCCTGTCTAGTACAGAGAACTATATTCACTATCCTATGATAAACCATTGTGGAAAAGAATATTTAAAAAGAATGGATGCGTATATATAACTGAATAACTTCACTGTGCAGCGGAAATTAACACAACATTGTAAATCAACTATACTTCAATTTAAAAAATTAAAAGCTAGCTTCATTGGAGAAAAAAAACAAAATTATATTCTTGAGCTGTGAGCTGCTGAACATCTGGTGAGTTCCAAAGAGTGGGTTTACAGAGGTTTATTTACAGCTTCAGTTACTCCTGGTCCCCACCCCAACCAGCTTCCACTCAGATATTTAGTTCTGTATATATTTCCTAAGTCAAGACTACTATGTTCTAGTATATGTATGGCTGAGTCCCTTCACTGTTCACTGAAACTGTCACAGTTGTTAATCGGCTATGAAGTGTTAGGGCTCAGTTGTGTCTGACTCTGCAACCCTATGGACTGTAGCTCTCCAGGCTCCTCTGTCCATGGGATTCTCCAGGCAAGAATACTGGAGGGGGTTGCCATTTCCCTATCCAGGGGATCTTCCTGACCCAGGGATCGAACCCATGCCTCCTGCACTGCAGAAGCCACCAGGGAAGCTCTGTTAATTGGCTATACCCCGATATACAACTGAAAGTTCAAAAGAAAAGGAATATTATGTTCTTTCTCTTCTAAGCATTTCTTCAACTCTGCTCTTGAAAGGCAGGAATAAACTTCAGAACAACCGCATCCTTCGTCTGTCCCCAGCAGCTTCTGCCCATCACTGCTAGAAAGGAACTCTTCTTCCCCTGAGTATCCTCTTGGCACCAAAATACTGTCTGAGAAACAAATGATCTGCTCCCTAGAGACGAGATGGTATGAAGTCAAAATCAGGAATAATGTTTATTCAAAACAGTTACTAACTTTTTTCAAGCCACGAAGGGCTCTCCTCATCGAATCCAAACATCCCAAATACCTTTGTAGAAAATCCTCCTGAAGCTGAGTATTCAAATGCTGCACACACAGAGTGACCCAGTGACCGAGGTAGCGCCAACCACCGTGGGAAGATGGAAATTCTCCCCAAGAATAACTGTGGGCCATTTGAACCTCAGAGAAGACTGGTCCCCCGTCTTTTCCTGCCGGTGGCCACACAGCCCAGGGTGAATGTGAGGAAAGCGGGCAACATGACTGTCTCCCTCCCCACCCTCTAAGCCTGGCCCTATGGGTCTCCCACCAGCAGACAGTTCTCTAAACTCCAGGAAGTACAAGTGAAAATATTAGTCACTCAGTCGCATCCGACTCTTTGCAACACCATGGACCATAGGCTTCTCTGTTCATGGAATTCTCCAAGCAAAAGTACTGGAGTGGTTTGCCATTTCCTACTCCAAGGGATGTTCTCAGCCTGGGGATTGAACCCAAGTCTCTTACATTGCAGGCAGATTCTTTACCATCCAAACCTCTGGGCACCTGCATAATTGTCTGACGTTGCTTTGAGAGGACATTCTGAGTTTGTAGTTTTTTGTGTTTTCTGAATTTGAAGCAGTAACTCCCAGGAGTAGTATATATTCTGTTTTTCCACTTCCATTTAATTTTGAAAAATATCAAGGCAGCAAGCATTTTGGTTTGCTTTGATGTGATTAATCAGAGCTCTCTGCAGGGCTGTTCTGTAGAAGAAGGAGCCATCTTGTTGAATACAGGTAGAAATGGGTGGAGAAGGAAAACTGTCTGGAAAGAGATTTCAAGTAATTTTAAGGAAATCCTTTTAGTAGTTGGAGCTGCCTAGAGATGGTATGGGTTACCTGGGAAGACAGTGGCTTTGACACCAAGGGAACATTATGAAAACTTGAGGTACGCCCACTCTCTCCCTCACACAGACACATAGAGTGACTCTGATTCAGTCCATCTGGAGATCTGTATTTGTGTGTATGTCCCTGTAGATGATTCTGATAATAGAAGATTCCAGGGCACTAAGTATTATAAAAGGGAAGCAAGCTTTGAGTGGGACAGCCAAGCTACGTAATTTTCTGTCACTTTCCAACCCTGAGATTCTGTGATTCTAACCAGTCTTGTCAATATTTCATTTGTGGAACTGTACATCACTGTCCTCCAAGGAACATTCTCAGTGTTAGTCCTCCTGGGTAATTTTCTGCCTGCTGGAGGTCACTCTTGAATTGGCTCTCTCTCAAATATTTTAGGAGAAGGAAATGGCAACCCACTCCAGTATTCTTGCCTGGAGAATCCCATGGACAGAAGAGCCTGGTGGGCTGCCAGCTATGGGGTCGCACAGAGTTGGGCACAACTGAAGTGGCTTAACAGCAGCAGCAGCAAATATTTTAGGAGAAAACCATCCTAACCGCCATGCTGGCCTGGAGAAGAAGTGTGTCCCATGACTCTAATGTTGACATTTGCATTCTTGCTCATGAAGGGTGCAGTATGGCCCATCTCATCTGTGTGTGTGTGTGTGTGTGTTTATGGCTGTAAATGTATTTATATTAAATTTTCTCCTTAGGATGGTAACTCTTTCCAAAAATGTTACTATTATTGTTTTATGTGTTTATAAAAGTAACACATTTCATTGTAGAAAATGGGAAAATTTAGGAAAGTATCAAGAAGAAAGAAAAGTCACTTATAATCATACCCCACAAAGCATTCTTGTGCACTTACCTTAATGCAATTTAAAACCTGTCATGAGCCTTCCCTCAGGCTGCTCTTTAATGCTTAGCTTCTAAAGGAGGCACTCTCATTTTCTACTGCATTCAGCATCTTATAACTATAGCTCAGAATAAGTGGTTGCTGGTACACATATGATTTATTATTAGATTAGGGTTATTTTTTTCAATCCTTAATTCCTCTCTGGCCCCTTTTCAGTTAGAGGCCAGAGAGGAATTATAGTTCAGCTCCTAGAGCCAGTTTGGAATAAGTTCATAATGGATAACATCAGTGTATGACTTTACCCTTTATAAAAATGTACTCTATTGATGATTCCATTTAATCATTTCAATGAAACCATAAGATGAAGAGTATGAAAATCATTGCCTTTTCCCTCTCTCTTTTTTGAAGTTGGTAAATAATTTTTTTTTAAAAATAAATGCTCCTTGAACATGCTAGACACTGTTGTAAGCCCTTTACAATTAATTAACTTATTTAAACCTCATTACAACCCTATGGGGAAGGTAATATAATTATCTTCATTTTACAAACCAGGAGACTGAAGCAGAGAGAGGTTAATTTACTTGCCTGAAATTGCTCAGCTAATAAATGGCATAACTGGAACTTGATTCCAGGCTATAACACTCTTAACTCATATGCAATTCCTGCCACCCAACATTATAGAAATAAGAATTGACAAAGTTCAGTTCAGCAAGCAGCGCATGAGCACCGTCTGTGTGCCAAGTGCTGGCATCAGGTCACTGCCTGGAGCCCGGTGTTTGTGGGACCAGCATGTAACTATGGCACAGTTACAGTGGTGAGGACAGAGGGCTGCAGTGTAAATAAACGTGCTGTCTTAGTTCCGGCTGCTGAGACAGAATGCCATCACTGGGTGCCTTGGACAATAGACATGTATATTTCGCAGCTCTGGAGTTCAAAATCAAAGCTCTAGCCATTCAGGTTCCCAGAGAGAGGACCTTCCTCCTAGTTTGCAGACAGTCCTCTTGCTATTTCCTCATGTGGGTGAGAGAGAGAAAGAGAGAGAGGTCTTTTCTCTCCTGTCTCTTCTTTTAGGCCACTAATCTGATTCATGAGGGCTCCACCCTCACGACCTTATTACCTCCCAATGCCTCACCACCATAGACCACCACCCTGGGGATTGAGGCTTCAACATATGAATTTTGTGTGGACACAAAACATTCAGTCCATAGCAAGCATCAAGGGAAGTGAAAGGGCCCAGACAGAGGAGTGAATTCCATATGATGATAGACTGTGTATTGTGCTGGTGCTTTCAAATAGAAGATTTTCTCTAATCTTCACAAAAGCTTCCTAAGGAAACTGAAGATCAGAGAAGTCAGATAACTTCCCCAAGGATGCAAGTCAGCCACTGGCCTAGGTCTCTCTGTAGCAAGACCAGATTGCTTTTCACTACCCCAAAGGTATACTAGAAGCCTTTGACAAGTAAGGAGCTCTTACACGTTTCAAATACTGTACTAACCATTTTTGGTATTATTTAATATTCAGCATAATTTTTCAAGTCTGTCTTAATATCCTAATTTCACCAGTCTCATGAAACCTGAGATCCTAAGAGGTTAAGTGACCTACCCTAAGTCACAGAGCTGGTAAGTGGCAGATGAAGAGTTCCAATGCATATTTGTGTGATTTCTAAACCTGGGCTCTTAGCACAGAATCTCTCTTTTCTGAAATTACATATTTTCTGAAGAGCCAAGCTGGGATGTGTTCCCCTGTCTCTTAATCCAAGTCTCTATTCATTGCCCCACAGTGACTGGGCTCAGATGGCAGCTTGCAGCTAGCACTGAGTAAGTGTTCATTCACTTAGCTTCCCTGCAAGCCTGTGGCCAGTAACCTGTATGGCGTTTCAGTCCTCCCTGCACCGGGGCCTGGGGGGCACAGGCAAAGGGATGCCCAGCCCCAAATGCTGTTCTGACCGTCCAGTGCTGCAGGCCTGTATGTTTGGCGGGAACCTGAAAATGCCAGATGGGAGGAGGGTAAGAGGACAGAGGAAGACAGTTGGGCTCATTAAAGCATGGCCATTTGGTGCTCTCTGGAGATACTGGCTGACAGAACTGATTGCTCAAATTTTGCTATCCAGTTTAAGGCAGAGAGGATTATTTCTGCTTAAACAATCTAATTAATTGCTTGCCTCTTGAGTATGAGAGAAGTATGTCAGTCCTTCTCATCACGAGTCAGTCTTTGCACGTAGGTAACCCACCATTTCCTTAGGTTCTTAACATCATGTATTTCTGCCCAAGGAGTCTCACTTAGTAGAAGAGAGAAGGTGATGCTACACTTTTACATAGATTCCTACCAAGGAAAAAAGTCAGGAAATGGTCAGCAAGTTTTTTTCAGAAACACTGGTTGTTTGGGCAAGTCCCTTCAACTCTGAGCCTTAGGTTTCATATCCAGGGTCAAGAACCAGTAAGCCTCTTTGATGATTCTTTCATTCATTTACCAACAAAGATTAAGCACCATCTTAAACCCTGGATTATTATGCCAATTATAGATAATATAGGTAAGGTGGTTAGCATGCATCTAATACTTTTGTGCTTACTCAAATGATATACATTTTCCTTTCTCCAAATTTTGAGCTTTTGATGCTCAGAAAAGGACAGTCTTATGTAGGGACCTATCTCTCAGCCCAACTGATCTTGGCAATAAACTGTCCACATGCATCCCAAGAAGCACTAGGAGAGAGGACAGGGCTGAGGCAAGTGAAAAAAAAAAGGTAAGCCACACCCCTTGCTACCCAGGATAAAAGATTTGCAGAGACCCCCAAGAGGCAATTAGCGTGGGCCTCTGGGGTGAAAAACACAACTATGGCTGGGGATGCAATAAATGTGAAAAGATTGCTGAGGAGAGAAATCAATCCAGTGTTTGTGATGTCAGATTGCAAATAGACATCTGGCTAACCTGAATTTCAGTGCGAAAAGCAAATTCATTCTGAGTTTTGAGGCCAGCCTGTCAAAACAGGTATTATGTCAGTGACTCAATGCTTGAATTTGGTTATGGTTTATTTAATTGAGGACAATCGGGATTTGGGATGCAAAGAAGGAGGATGGTTGTCATTTGTGAGAAAGTAGGCCCTGACTCCTAAGGAACTATATTGGTCTTGAATTGTGGCTAACCCTCTACAGTCTCATGGGTGTTAAATCCCACTGGATAAGGGAGGCATGGAAGGTCCTTAAATGCTGTTTCCCAAACAGAATGGATGTGGTCAGACTCTGCTGGAAGATACGTGCTCAGTCCCTATTTTTGCCATTTTCTAACTTAGGAAGCTTTGAGTCTTAGCTTTTCCAACCATAAAATGGTTCTGAGAATACCACACTTGGTTATTGTTAGGGTCAAATGAAGATGTAAATGTGAAGGACTTTTTCATTAATAATTATATGTTAAAATTTCAGTTACCACTTATATCATCATCTTTATTATTCATGAAACTTCCCACCCAAGTAGAAATCAAAGTTTTCCGATTTCCTTCTTGAGTGAACCAAAATCTGCCACTCCTACAGTAAGGCTTTAATTTTTTTTTTTTTAACTTTTTTTGTTGCTTGTTTGAAGATCAGTAATAAACCATATCACATATTAGGTGTGTTTGTGTGTGTCTCCATCTGTCTGTTCATCTGACTTAGTCTTTGCAACTTGTTTAAGATTTAAGTGATGAACCACTAAGGTGGCCTAATAGAAACATTTCTGAAGGAACATGCAAGGCATGAACTTAGAAACCAGGGGTAAACATTAGAATGCTCCGTCTAAGCAATTCTTAGAATAGAATATTGAGTTCAGCTTCATTTATGTTTGGGGCCCATGTGAGCTCACTCACTTTATGCAGAATTTATTTTAATAGGCTAATCAAATAACCATGTATTCTCTGCATGTCATTTTGGCATCCCCTGATGGACTGGTGTTTCCCATAATTAGGCTGATTAACGCAGAGACGCTAGGAGAAAGTTGGGGCTGTAATAGCAGTTTTAGAAGGACCCAAAAAGATGAATACCAATTAGCATTTGCACTTGCATTAAAACTGAGAAAAGCTGAACAAGCTCAGAGCAGGCATTTTCACAGTGAGCATCTCTGCACTTTGCTACTTCTCTTGTGTGAAGTCTTCCTTGCTCCCCTCCCAACTGTTGTATGTTGGGCGCAGGTCGAAACTCTTGGTGGAACATACTGCTTTAATATCTGAGGTTAGATTTGAAGAATTTTGCTCATCTGTTTCCACTCAAATATTCTACTCTCACACCAAAATAAATATATTCTGAAACTCCATTCTGTAACTATAGAAACCCCGATCTTCAATGTGTTTCAGCTGGAAACACAAAAGAATTCTCAAAGAGGAGTATGTTGTTAATTATTGATCTATGAATAGCTTAGATTTCATAAACCCTTAAAGTTTCTGTAGATTCAGGGTTTTTTCCTCTCTTTTTTTCTTTCCCCATTTTTGAAATTAGACCTAGCCACATTTAAATAAAGAGTGATGCTAAAGCAATGCAATGAATATTATTTTAGTTCAGCTATTAAAATTTACTGAGGACCTGCTGAAATACTCTGAGTCATATGCAGACCTGCCCTCGAGGAACATGGAGCCTTTTATGTGCAACTCAAAAATAAACAGCACACAAGAAAACAAGAGATAACACCAACGGAGACAAGTGCTGTGGGGCTTAGAGGACGGAACGGTCATGTCTAATTAGAAAGGCTCAAAAAAAAAAAATTGGAGAAATATTTAACTTCTCTTTTCAACTCCACCCTTCAAAGAGACACAAGACCTGCCAACTTTATTTTATTAATGTTTCTCAAACCATTCTTAGAATAGAATATTGAGTTCAGCTTCAATATTCCCTCTCCTCCACTTCATTATCACTCCTCATCATTTCTTGCCTGGATTATGGCAATAGCTTCTTAATAGGCTTCCTGCTTCCCACTGTTCTTCCCCTCCTCTAATCCATCTTCCTCCTCCCCCAGAGTCACTTATTTAAAATGCTAATCTAGTCTATCGTTTCTCGGCTTTATAGCCTCTAATAAGTCGTGAGGATTCCCCAAGAGAAAACCCCATGTCCTTAGTGTAGAGGGATCCCCTTTATATTATAAAGGAGGCCCCGCCACCTCCCCAGCCTCATATCTCTGTGCTGTATGTACACTGTATCAGAATCTTACTGCAATCTTTAGCTTGATGATAACTTCAGGTCTTGGTACATGTTGTTCCTCCCTCCTGTCTGGGAGATTCTCCTTGAACTTTTCCCACTGACAAGCTCTTTCTCACCATTTAAGTCTCACAGAAATGTACTCCTTCTCCAAGAAGTCCTCCCCATTGCTTTCTACTCCTCATCACCCTCCAATGAGATAGATAGATGTGCCCACTCACCTTGCTATCAGCAGTCTTATTGTACAGTAGTATCTGTCTTTTTATGCCTCTGTCCCCTCCAAGAAGACATTACTATGTCTTCATTGAAGTCATGCTTTTTAATTTTTTTCCCCCAACACCTTACTTGATACAGGGTAGGCTTTCAATAAATACTTGATGAAGGAATGAAGGTAAAATAACAAAAACTGCAGAGATGGCAGAAGAAGGACGTTGGGCAAAGGAAAAGTTCAAGATTATAACATGTTTGGTTTGAGGTAAAAGTAAACACCCTAGCTTTCTTAAAGAGAAGGAAAGAAAAAGGAAGCAAACAGAAAAGGATATTAGGAGAGGAGAGTTTACTTAGCCTCCACTTTAGGTGTTTGCGTCTGTGGACTGTGATTTCTTGAAGTAGATTCTGATTGATTCAGGCATTTAGATAGCAAATATTAGGTTTTTGTTCCTTCCAAATAGGTGACGATTCAGTACATGTAACACAAAAATTGCAAGGGATGTGTTAGCAGCTTAGAGATGTTATACTGAGACTTTATACTAACAAAGAAACGGAAATATTTTAAAACATTTTATTTGATCTGAAGGATAGGAAGAAGCGGCATTCTTCATTGGATAAGGAATTTAAAATCATAAATGCTTGGCCATGTGATAGACACTTTATTTTCCATTTTCCTTAGGGTGGAAAGAAAGGAACGTGCCCGATTGAAGACAGTGAAGTTTAATGCAAAACCTGGAGTGATTGATTCAAAAGGGGTAGGTACAAAATAATTGAAACATTAAGTTCTCTTGGTTGCCATGGATTTAACTAAAATTAGCATGTAAGCTTTCAGTAACAGATTATGGAGCTACAAGACAGTAGATCACTGGTAAAAATGTATTGCTAAAAGCCATGATGCGATTTCTGATGAGATAGATCTATAATAAATATACTAAATATTGGGGGTAAAGCTGCTAGTGATCAGCAGAAATGATGTGTTATGAAGATGATATAATGACTATAGTGAAGAAGAAAAAGGATAGTTTTGGTATTTTTATTTCTCTAATTTTTTTTCTTTTAAAATAAATACTTTCAAAAGCTAGATTCTATAAAAGATGCCTGCTCATCATAAGATATATCTAATCCTTTACACATTATAAAGTCAGAACAGTGGTCATGGAAATAAACAGATGGATCATCTAAGTGAATACATGGATTGTTGTGACAGACATAGAAAAGAAGAAACTTAACAAATGAAATTTAGGGTTATGCAACCATCACAGTCAACTTTAGAATATTTCATCACCCCATAAAGAAATCCTGTAGCAGTCACTTCCCTCTCCCCAGCCCTCTGACCTAGCCCTAGGGAGCTACTAACCTACTTTGTCTCCGTAGGTTTTCCTATTCTGTACTGTTCATACAAATGGCATTATATACTATGTGGTCTTTTGTGACTACTTCTTTCACTTTACATAATGTTCTCAAAGTGCCTCTGTGTTATAGCATATGTAAGCACTTCTTTTCTTTTCATTGCCCAATATTCCATTGTATGGATATACTCATCTAAAATGTATCCATGCATCAGTTGGTGGAAATTTGTATTGTTTCTACTTCGGGGCAATTATGAATAATGCTGCTATCAACGTTTGTGTGCAGTTTTTATATAGACATATACTCTTACTTCCATTGGGCGTGTACTTAGGAGTGGAATTCCTGGATCATATGATAACTCCGTGTTTAACATTTTGGGGAACTGCAGACTGTTTGCAAGGTGGCTGTGACATTCCACATTCTCACCATCACTGTATGAGAGTTCCAGTTTCTCCGCATCCTTGCCAGCACATGTTATTATATGTCTTTCTGCTTATTGTCCTCCTGTTTGGTCTGAAATGGTGTCTCACTGTGTTTGTGATTTTTATTTCCCTAATGACCATTGGTATTAAACATCTTTTCATGTGTTTATTGACCAGTTATATATCTTCTTTGGAGAAGTGTCTTTTCGGGTCCCTTGCCCATTTTTAAAATGGCATTCCTTTGTTGTTGCTGAGCTGTAGAAGTTCTTTGTATATTCCAGATATTAATCTCTTATTAAATATACATTTTCCAAATATTTTCTCCCATTCTATGAGCTGTCTCTCTTCAAGATGTCTTTTGGTACACAAAAATTTTTTATTTTGATAGAGTTCAATTTACCTATTTTATCTTTTGCTACTTTCTTTGGTATAATATCTAAAACACCAAGGCCATGAAGATGTCCATATTTTCTTCTGAGTTTTATACTTTTAGCTGTTACATTTAGGTGGTAGATCCATTTTGCATCAGTTATTGTGTATAATATGAAGTAGGATTGTGACTTCATTCTTTTGCACATGAATTGTTTTCTTAGTTTTATTTTTTGATAGTTCATTGCAAGTATATAGAAATGTAACTATTGTGTATATCAGCCTTATACTTTGCTACCTTGCTGAATCCATTTTATTAATTGTAATAGCTTTTTGGTTGATTCCTCAGGATTTTCTATCTACAAGGCCATATTATCTGTAAAAAGAAAGTTTTACACATGGAAACCTTTCAAACAAATACTGTCTCCATACAAAGGGGGAAGATTTTTCAGTGATTCTTGGTGAGAATTTTAGGATAGATTTCCTGTTTGTTTCCTATATATAGTTGGGTATATATCAAAGAATTTTCATTGAATACCTACCATGTGCCAGACACAGGATTAGAACTTGTGAAAGATACAAAGGTAATACAGGCCCTTCCCCTCAAGAGCTTATAACATCAGTGAGAGCCCAGCTGCCCTTTTTAAGAAGGACAAAACTTGTGTGTTGTGTTTTTTCAATCATACTGTTGAATACAATTAGGTATGAGTCAATGAATAGAATATAAATCCTAGGACTTGAGTGGCTGTTGAAGGACAGGCAGTGATCATGTGGAAAGGGAAACCCTGAACTGAAAGTCATGAGAATCAGGTACCTGAGTTCTGGTATCTGTTTATTACTGAGTCATCACTGCTCTTTGGACCTCATTAGCAAAGTAGCAGCTTTGAACTATATCAGAGATGTCAAAGAAGTTTCACCCTATGTACACTGATGAATTGAAGTCTCTAACTAGAAAATGTGTTGAAAATTATTCTGAGGCCATATATGACCTCAGCAGGAAAAAAAAAAAGGGGCGGTTGTCATGATTGATGTCATGCCTAACACACCATTGGGAATTGTTCTCTGCTTGAGATCCCTGGATTCAGTGATTTTTAAGGTGCCTTCCAGCAGTAATTCTCCATGAGCCTATAAATTAAGAAACAATAAACCACAGTTTTCCAAGTCTCCATGAAAATAGTACATCAGTGAGAAGGTTCTCATCCTGAAGTAGAACATAAAGGACAATTAAGAGAAAGACAGGGCAATTAAGACTGAAGAAAGGACAGACCCACTCTCCAATGGAGAGTTAAGAAAGTCAGGAGATGCCACTCGCTATGAGCCTTGGACAAAAAACTACAGAAATTAGTCATTGGATTGGAAGAATCAATATTGTCAAAATGGCTATGCTACCCAAAGCAATCTATAGCTTCAATGCAATCCCTATCAAACTACCAACGGTATTTTTCACAGAACTAGAAAAAATAATTTCACAATTTGTATGGAAATACAAAAAACCTTGAGTAGCCAAAGTAACCTTGAGAAAGAAGAATGGAACTGGANGCGATTCAATCTCCAGCTGACTCAACCTCTTGGGGCCTCAGTTTCCCTACCACGGAGAGGGAGAAAGACCAGTGCCCACCCTTCCCCCTCCCACAAGAGCAAACAGAACCACACGAATCTAGGGCAGGATCTCTGGCCGGGCGGGAGTCAGCCTGGGGCAAGCCCTACCTGAGGGGCTGGGCCAGACGGGTGAAGAAGCAGACCAAGGCCAAGGTCAGCACCAGGAGGAGGAGGCTGAGGACTGCTGTGAGGACCAGGTCCAGGGTGGGGGATAGGAGGGCCATCTGGAGTCAAGAGGGCCCCAGGGAGCCGCCAGCACAGGGAACACTCGGTCACACAGCCCTGGATGCCTGCCCCAAAGCCCTGGGTCAGTGGCCCTGACCTGGCTGTGTTCCTCGGGGTTAATCTTTGGGGATTAGCCCAGGAGGTGTGAAACGGGAGGAGGGACAATCCCCGAGGCTCTCCTCCCCCAGGCCGGTCCATCCCCACTGGAGGCTTGGCCGTCCCTCCTGCATGCCCAAACGTTTACTGAGCACATGCTGTGTACCCAGCTCTGCTCAAGGGACTAAGGACTCAGTGGGGAACAGGACAGACACAGTTTCTGTTTTCCTGGAGATTCTTGACCAGCCCGGATAGGAAAAAGCCACTACTATGTCTCAGGCATTGTGCTGGGCACCTTGTGGGATAAAAGCACAGAAGGAAAGGAACCCCTACCCAGGGTCATCATCTTTTTTCTTTCTTTAAAGATGATGCTGCTTTGCCAAAAGAGAATTCCTAGAAGCTTAAAAAAAAAGGTATAGTGCTTGTTTTGGCAGCACATATACTAAAATTGGAACGATACAGAGAAGATTAGCATGGCCCCTGCGCAAGGATGACACGCAAATTCGTGAAGTGTTCCATATTTTTGTGGAGAGGGAGGTGGAAGGGGGGACCGGGATGGGGAATACATGTAAATCCATGGCTGATTCATGTCAATGTATGACAAAAACCACTGCAATGATGTCAAGTAATTAGCCTCCAACTAATAAAAATAAATGGAAAAAAAAAAAGAAATTAGTCATTGTTACAGAGGTCTCAGTCTCTGGGACCCAGGGGTAAATGCAGCATAAACTCAAAGTGAAAACTACTTGAAATGAGGAAGAGGATGGGATATTTAAGTAACATTATCATTAGTTGGTATCAACAGAACATTGGGAGTTGTTGGGGATTCAGAGTGAAAGCCACGGGGACTTCTCTGGTGGGCCAGTGGCTGGGACTCCATGCTTCCAATGCAAGGGGCACATGTTTGATCCCTAGTAGGCTAACTAAGATCCCACATCCCATATGGTGTGGCCAAAGCATTTTTTTTTTTTAAGTTTTTTTAACAGTGAAAGCTGTGGCCACTGCCCTGGAGGATCTTAGAATCAATTAGTATGTGTAGAATGGGCTGTGACAAGAGCCTTATTAGTCGTGTGTACAAGAGCTATGGGGGTTCGACTTCATGGATGTGGGAATGACTAGAGAGCACTTATAGAAGAAGAACTTAGAGTGCTTGAGTTACTTTTCCTCAATTATGAATTGAGGAATTATGAATATAGGAATTATGAATGAATAATTAAACATTCATTAATGTTTGAAAATTGAGTGCTAGAAAACATTAGGTACTAGGCTAGGTGCCTCATGGGGCAGCCGGATGATTAAAAAGGCAAAGTCTTTCCTACTTCAGAGCTCACAGAAAGATATATAAGCAAGCAAACAATGGCAACTCAATATCACTGCTGATCCCTATGTGTGTGTGTGTGTGCGCGCGCACATGCACTCAGTCACTTAGTTGTATCCGACTCTTTGCAGACCCATGGACTGTAGCCCGTCAGGCTCCTCTGTCCATGGAATTTTCCAGGCAAGAATACTGGAGTGGGTTGCCACTTCCTCCTCCAGGGGATCTTCCCTGGAGGGGATCGAACTCCTGTCCCTTGCATCTCCTGCATTAGCAGACAGATTCTTTACCACTATTGCCACCTGGGAAGCCCAAATTTAGGGAATTAATCTCTATTTTAAATACCGGGAGATGGTGCCTCAAGAAGATTAACTAATTT